GGGTTTGTTCTGACCCCCAAGGAGGTCGTTGTTGTCCGGGTGAGCGGTACAGCCTATGACGCCCGTCAGCCTTGCCGCATCGAGTGGCAGGCAGTCCCTTGGGATGCATCAGGGCCGGACACCCTCACAGTCAATCTATCTTTGTGGTTCATCTCTATGATGAGTCTCAACCCGAACCATCACGGGCTGTGCCCCCCCGGAGCGGCGCCGAGTCTTAACCTCTGGTTGAGATACCAAGATCCGGCGGGCTCAATCGCCTATAAGCATCACCTGTCTTTACGACAGGCGTTTTGCCTCCCTACTGGCGCCGAAGCTGAGGGCGCCCATTAAATATACCCACCATCACCTTCGTCGTGATTACCGTACATTGAGCGACTCATGGGCCGCCTTTGCGCCTCCTAACCTCTCACGCCTCGCTGTCGCTGTGATAGGAAAGGACGAGTTGTTTGGTTGTTGGTCTTTGGAGCTTCTTTTTTCCTTTCCTTTCCTTTCCTTTTGTCTTTCCTTTTATGTTGGGGTAATCGTCGCGGTGTGTGCTTTACAGTCTCTACCTGGAATCCTTGTTGTTTTTCTCATGTTTTTCTCTTGGTTTTACTGCGCAGATATTATCCGGCATCTCAACGATGTAATTTGACTGGGTGCAAGACTCCCCACATCAGCTTTTAGCGTCGGATCATTTCACCAGACAAGTTGGTGCCTGTTGTCAACACTCGGACTATTCTAGACGGATGATTTCCCAGCTATGTTCAGTAAAGATATCATTAGAAAATGAGCTAGCGTATAAAGGAATGTAACTAAATGGCTCTGAATTGATGTTCTCTAACTATTGCAAAAACCTTTTACTGAAAACGAGGACGAATGCTTTTACGATGGTCCTCATGTCAGCAGGTGTCGTCTCTACAAAGCAATTTCTCATGATATGGCAGAAAGGGCCCAATAATCCGACAAGAAAGTAGACAATCAAGGCGACTCGATGAGTTGCAGTGAAGAGAAAAGCCAACACGTTGTAGCGAAATATGGGTAACTCTAATGTGAAAAACACTGATCTGTCCCAGGAAGAGGGACACATATCTAGCAACAGGGAGTCCTCTCAGTCTTGGATCGTGTTCCGGAACCTCCCCCTGACGATGTGTTATTTGCAGCTGAGACTTGTGGCTGAGATCTTAAATCAGCAGAGAGAGCTTAGTCTACCGGCCTCTGAACGCGCCAGGTGCGTCAACACCCCGTCGAATGCCCTCGCCGCCATCGACGTAGTAATGTTTGGCCGATCGTAATCAGTGTATGTATTGTCTGGGATAAAGCCTTTCTGTCCTTACCTCGAGATCCGAGCATTCGCTGTTCATATATGCATCCCAGGGAGCGAGCTCGTGTCCAGCCAGCTGCCTCGAGCTTTTGGCAGAGTTCTTCGAATAATCTTTCGATCGAAGGATGTGGCCTCGCGATCCCATCATCTAGCATGAAGCCAATCGCCAGTTTCTTCTCCGAGTAGCGTTGGAATTTGTCTTCTTTTCAGAGCGCAGGCACCAACTGGGGGTCCAGTGTCTAACACTCAGCCTTGATCACTGCTTTAGAGACCAGAGTCAGTGTGTTGAGTGTTCTTGTCATGGGACCAATAGAGGAAGGTATCTGGTGCTGCCCTTCCTGGGAGATAGGGACATCTTCGCATGAAAACCTGACGCTCTGCAATGGTGTAAGGTGAGTAATCGTACATGAAGACAGAAAGGAACAAAATACGCTCGGTTCGAACCGCCACAAGCCATTCATGTTTGCTGGCTCATGGATAGAGCCGCTAATGCTTGTCACACGAGTTGGGGGTCTTACTCGGTGATGTGAGCGAGGACAATGGCTTCTGCTGTAACTTGTCGGGCTTCCACTAGCTTAACCAAGTCTTGGGTATCTTTTGCGGCAAGAATGCGAGGTCGGCTGGTGCCTCTCAACCATGAGACTTTGCTCGTTGTCTCATCGCATATCGCCCGCTTCCCTCTCCGCGACAACCCGAAATGCCGAATAATACAAAATCGATCCAAGAACCTCTTTCAGTGCTCGGTGCTATATTCTGGAGGCCGATGGATCTGCTTCCAGGCTCAGCCGATGCAGCCGATCAGAGCTATGGAACGAGAGATGCCGCGCACGTTGGGTCAAGCAATTCGGGTTCTCCAGGAAAGGATCAAGCTTTTGATACCATTGTCCAACTCGCATATCCCTTAAGCTCATTTATCCCTCTAACCTCAGTCAAGTCAAGCCAAGCCTGCCCGCCCGCCCGCCTAGTTCATATCTTACAGAGTGACAAACATGCATAATGACCCCGCCTTTATGAAGCCGGCCTATCTGTGCTGCCTTAAGGGCGATTTTCACCAGGGAGAACCCAAGGGTGACATTATCCGGATTAAGGTCGTGAACACCTATATAGCCAAGCTCGACCTTAAGGCCACTAATAAAAATGTCTTACTCTTCTTCCCAGATATTTCTAGGCTATATACTAATAGCCTTGATAACAGATGCATATGCCGCTTGCGGGTATCTCATGCTTGGCGTCGATTACTTCCTAGGGGCCAGTTGCCACTGAAACGACATGTGAAATTGTCCCCCTTTCCATGTAGGATAGATGTTTGCTAACACAGTTGGTTGAGTGAAAACAGGACGATGCGACAAAGTACACCCTGACTCCTCTCAACGATCCCAACGCAGGTTGACCTGAAAGCCTGGTCCACTAAGGACCTCAAGCCTTGTGAGAAGGTTGGGCAAGAGTGGTCAAAGAACGTCAAGGCCAAGTTTGCTGCTGTCGACTATTGGTGAGACCGCCCTCCCTTAACATCTCCATCCACCCAATATCTCAGCACGAAGTGCGTGCTGAAAACAGAGTAGCTGGAGCGCACGCATTATCCTAGAGCAAGTGGCCGAAGACGGCGTCTGCTCAGTCGGAGCCATCGGCCACCCGTTCTTCTTCAATGAGCGCCACGTGCAAAGGTCAATAGTTTATCTACCGACGAACGAGTTGTATTAGAGAGAAGCTCTTGAAGCTTGGCCGTGGGGGATCATCTAGGACTCACTAACTTTGCTATTCCAGCCACCGATATACTCTTGTCGGCCGAGTCGCGCACCAGAGCGGTCATAATATGCACCAAGAAGCACCAACAGTTTAACAGGCAAATCTACTCCCATATCGGGCACGGTTTTGCGGTAAGCTTGTTGACGCCAAACTTCGGAGATGACGACGTCTTACTAAACGGCTCTGACAGACACAAGCACGACTTACGGGTCCTTACGAACATGGGCCAAGGAGCAGCACTTTAAGGGGTTTGTTGAGAGGTTTGACTCTTGGTAGGCTCAGAAATAACTGGAGGAGGGAACGCAGGGGGGGTTCCTATAAGATCAGGAATTGAACTAACAATAAAGGATGCAAGATAGCGCGTCCGCACATACAACCTTAATAGCTTCGCATAAAAACCTTCGCTAAAGGACCAAGGCTAACCGCTTTCGGAGTTTTAGCATTAGTAATACCCCAAGTCTTGCTTGCTTAAGGTTAGCAAACCGAGATGCCCCCTGCTATAAGCTTAATGCTTGCTTTGAGTGGCTAAGTATATCAACGCGAACTATCTAGGCAGGGCATGGAATTTAAACGGGCTAAAGAGTTAATCACAAGAGCATTTGTCTTATTTGAAACCAGAAGGTCCACGCACTGTAGAGTTGGGTTAACCGGGGAACCAGGAAATTCAAGATAGAAAATAATACACGGGCGATCATGCCAGTTTCGAAGGCGCTTTTGATGGCAACAAAGGAAGCATAATTAGAGACATAGGAATTCAGTCCACGAACTTATGTGACAAAGATGATTTGAGAAGGTAGCAGAATACTGACGATCATGTAGCAACCTAAGAGGGTGATCAGGACATAGAAAGCGTATCGAGACTTCTGAGCGAGAGTGTTAGTCTTATGGCCCTTCACCACCTTGAACTGCTGTAAGTCATTCAGCCTCCGCCCTTGGCCCTGCATAGGACTCTACTCGGACGCTTGGCACCAGAATGATACACCCACGACTACAGTATGGCCTTGCAAGCAGATCCATCATCAAGTAGTCGAATATTTCATGACTACAAGCCAACTGCGAAGCGAAAGTAGTGATGTAAGTTGAAACAAGGATCAAGGCGATGTACCTGGCCACCACCTTTGGTTAGATTGGATATTATGGCTCCCAGGCTTGCCCTGATATCTCTGCTTGAAGTATTCACTACCTCATGCGGACGCCACCACAAGGTGAGGGGGGGGGGGGGGGGGGGGGGGGGGGGGCCTTGCAGCGGCACTATCAGGAGCCTCGAGACGTTTCGATCAACAGCTCCGGCTAGTAACTGTCAATACCAGGGTCGCTCGAGTCCGTTGCCACTGCCGGACTGCGAGTGATCAAGGCCACGCCACGAGCCTAGCCATTCCGAAACAACTGCAGATGGGGCTTTCTCAGCATTGAAGCATTCGACAAATTTGGGCCGATCGCTCTGTCTCCAGTCGACCATTGCTGTCTACTCATAGAACCGGCTTGCCGGCGAAACCGCCTTGATCTGGTGCAAGTATGCTCCACTGTCAACACTTTCCTGGTGATGTAGATGTCGATGTTTTTTTATTCACTTAGCCAGATCAGACATGTGGATGGTTACCACGTCGTTGGTCGTCGAGGCTGAAGCCTGGAGGGGTGCGAGCTGTATCTCACTTGGGGCCAAAGCGGAACCGAGAGGCCTAGATAAGATCAAACAAATACACCACGAAACCAAACCACCTTTTCAGGTGAGCGATGGGTCCATCAATGATGGTGAACAGATTACACATTCATTCACAGGCAAAATAGTCTGGAACAGTTGTAGTAATGTAGAGTTTGGGTTAAGAGAGAAAGAAAACAAAGACGCTGATGCTCCACCACAGCGACGACTCTCCGTATTGGACCATATCTTGATTTGTGCTTCGGTTGTGGACAGCGACCTTGAATCTCCACCCGATGGTGGCTTTTGCGAATGGGTATCAGGTAAGCTCTATTATAGATAGGGCTGAATGCAGCACTGGCGTGTTTGTAACCATTGCCGGGCCTTTAGCTATGATATGCCAAATTTGGATCCTATGTGTACGATCAAGACTGACGTTCTGTCAGGGGATACAACAGCTTCTTTGGCGTCTTTGAGACCTATTACACAGCACACATCGGTAATTCAGCAAGCCAAAATATATCCTGGATAGCATCAGTCAAAATATCTGCACTGTTCTTTATAGGAACGCTCTCTAGTCGTCTCACAGACGCCGGCGACTTCCGCATCGCATTCGCTGCTGGCACACTACTCAACTATCTCAGTGTATTCATGGCTTCTCTCAGTACGACACTCTGGCAACTCCTCCTCTCGCAGGGTCTCTGCACGGGGCTAGGTAACGGTCTGATGTTTACTCCCAGCCTTGCTGTTGTTTCGACCTACTTTAAGCGGAGAAGAGCCCTGGCCTTTGGGATCACTGCTACTGGAAGTGCCACGGGAGGTCTGATGTTTCCATCTATGGCTCGCCGGTTTCTTGGGAGTATTGGTTTTGCTTGTGCGGTTGGAGCCATGGGGTTGGTGCAGCTTATCACACTGGTCATGGCGAATCTACTTTTGAGGCCTCGAATACCACCAAGACAATCGGGTCCGTGGATTGATCTAGCATCGTTCAAGGAGAAGGGTTACTTGTTCTTTGCAATCGAAATCTTCGCAAGTATATGCTATTGGTAAGGCGTATGAGCATACTAGCGGGAATAGACATTCTGGGCAACATTCTTCCCGTTCTACTACCTCACATGTTTTGCAGTTTCACAATTTGACAAACCCCTCACGTACTCAGCCGCATTGAATGTCCTGCTTGTTGTCAACGGTGTCGGAATCATCAGCCGTTCACTACCAAACGCCATCGCACATCATTTCGGAAGCATCACAGTCCTCATACCCGTCGTGTTCATCTCATCTACGTGTTCATTCACGTGGCCTGCATTATCCACAGAAGAGGGCTCGTACGCATGGGCTAGTGTTTACGGTATTATCGCTGGGGCATCCATGAGTTTGTTCCCTCCAGCGAGTGTTATCTTGAGTTAACAGACTTGCTTGTATCGGGCAGCTTACCTCTGGGTGTTTTGTGTGCTTTAAGCCTGATTATCCTCACGGACGAGCAGCAGCCACTTATTTATATGCCTCTAGAGTCAGTCATCAGGATATCTAGCTTTTCAGCCAAAAGCAAGATCCTAGGCAACAGTAAGGGCGATGAGTATTTTGCCTGTATGTGTTTTTTTGGTGTTCTTTACCTTTGTGGCCTTGAGGCTGAAGCCTCTTTTTGACCCCTCAACCCTATCACAGAAGCACCAACATGGTCAGCGGAACCCGAAAGCTCAAGCGGGACATGCAGGTGGTGTCAGAAACCATGCTGTCAAGGATACCAGAGCCAGAAGGGCCAAGGCAATCATTAAAACAATGCCAACAGCGCCTACTTTCAAAGACACGTCGATTGTCTCAGTACCCCAGGCGACCTCCAGGTGGAAAATAGCGGATTCAGTTGAGTCGTCTGTCTTGGCTTCGCCAAAAGAGTTTTGCACAGGCTTCTCGACGCCTTGGTCGTTGGGTGGAGATAGTGTATGACCTTTAGCTGAAGGATTCCCGTTCAAGGTAATAGCCATTATTGTGTTTCTGAGAGCGGTGATCAAGTATTGGAGTGGATAATGAAAGAGATCAAGTTTGAAGGTGTAAGGAAGAGGGATGCAGGAGTCTGTTGTAGATCTTTTCCTGGGAAACCTTGCTCAAGTTCCGGGAGAGGCCACATAAACAGAACACAAAAGTTTGTCTTTAAATTTCTGTTTGCATTTCTTTTCTCTGAAGCACAAATAGTAAAGCGTTGTCGCAAACCCTATACAGCTCCATAGGCATAAGTGGCTCCAAATAAAGTCTTCTCAAGCAATAAGTTTCCTCGTTCCAAGAATAAACCTTCTATAAGAATTAGCAACATGCGCTATTTGTACCACACAGAACTCAAAGAATTTAATAGAATATTATGTCCAAAGTGATTACAAGAGCAAGCCACAATGAGCACAAATGCCGGTGATTTAAATCGTTATGATTGACTCGGTCCTCTACGTAACGTGAAAAGACCGCGCCACTGAATGGTCATTTGGCAAAGAGGGACGAGGAATTACGGGTATAATCAGAAATCACTTTGTAGTCTGGCATCCAATAGGAAGCCATTCCTGGAAGGCTCGGTTTCGTGGTCTAGTTGGTTATGGCATCTCGCTCACACCGAGAAGGTCCCCGGTTCGAGCCCGGGCGGAACCATTCTTTTGCTCTTTTTGACAACTCTTATCGACTGCATATCATTCTTGCGTTCGGGGACGCTGATATGGCCAATTGGATAACATATAATAACTGCTCTGATGTTTAATTACTTATAGAAGGTTTTTTATGACTTAAATGCTCAAGTGTGAAAGCAATCGGCAAGTGACTGATTGCTACTAATTTGCCTCCTTTTGTTTTTGCTTCTTGTTTGTAAGTGAGAACAAATAGACATCCTGATAGTCCTATTGGAAATCAGTTCCAAACCCATTGGCATACCTCTCCGCAACCTCCAATTCATTTGTAAGACACCAATCAAACATAACATCATGAGTCTTCATAGCCGTTCTCCATGCCTCCAAAGATTCGCCACTAATTGCGGGAACACCCGTCTTCTCAAGTACCATCAGGCCCGTTGCTGTGCTGAAGCTAAACCCCACGCAGTATATCCTCTTTAAAACCGGCAGGATCGAAAACATGTCGAACCGAGAGTTTTCTTATCTTGGGCATATGGCAAACAGCCTGTGCCACCGCCAATAGAAAGCGATCCATGGTTCCCTCTTTCATGTGGGATCTGAAGCTATTCTCTATCTCGCAGCCCGGGGGCAGTAATGCAAACCACCCATCCATTCACGGGTTCTCTTGTCGTTGACACTCTTCCTCTTCTGCTGATAAAGAATTTTCGACTGTGACTACCCACTCACCGGAAGGAACAACGTCGCAAAATACGAATGTGAAACCCTTGAGGATCGGCCAACAAGGATTTTCAGTCATAGGTTGGAACATGGCGATGTTGATGCTTGCAAGAAGGGTGGTTTCTCGAATACCGTGTCTCTGGGCAAGTCATCGCATCGCTTCGACAAGAATCTCTCTCTTTGACCCAATGGGGATGATGCTTGTAGAATTATAAGTCTGTTCTAGAATCCTCTCCTGCTTGTAGTCAATAAGCAACGTTTGAACAGACATGGGTATCAAATCCAAAGACCTTGCAAGGCCTACAATGCTGTTATCTGGGACAGGCATCAATGACAAAGCACTCTTACAGTTTCTGATTAGAGCTTCCCATAGCCATTAACGAGTATGTTCTTTATTACCCTCACCCCAAACTTCTCCAACCGTGGTGTCTTACTCGCAAGTCGACACATATCCCCAGGCATAAATGTAGGTGTGTCAGTATATCCGCATGCTCTAAAGACTCATATCATGGAGAGTTCTGGAAAATCCTTCCACATGTCATAAAGCTGCAAATACTGCATCCTTTTTGTGTGAACGTGACACTAAAACCGCTCCGTGACATCTCAAAGATCATGTCCATGTAGGGCTTCTCTCGACGTGGGAGATCTTTGAGGATCCCAAAGATGTTGTATACGATGTCATTAAATTCGATTTCATCTTTCGGGTGATGTTAACGAAAGTCGCAGTCTCCAGGGCCTTGGGTGCATCGCTTCGGTCGTGTACATATATTACGGCAAGAAAGCACTTGACCTTGACCTTAACATTTCGAACATATGAGGGTCTTTGTGGTGTCAGGCATGTGACATGTTTGGATCCAAGGACTTTATCTATTCTCGAGTGTAGGTATTTGAACAGGAATGGTTCGATGAGCTACTGCCAGCGCCGTGATACACTGACAAGGGCGCTGAGCCTCAGTGTTTCCTCCCATCGTAGTCCGCATATTACGCCTTGATGATATGGCTTTCAGAGATCGCAGATGATCTCTCTCCAGATCTCTGGTGGCAGACGCTCGGTAGGATCCATGCAGAGTAGAAGGAATGAATGAAGGGTGAGGCTGTTGGCCGTTGCAAGTTGAAAGTTTCAGAGGGGATTTGATGTTGGGTGCTGAGTTTGGCAGGGATAGAGCAACCGTATAAGAGGTTAATGACATAATCTGCCAATAGATTTGCTTTCATTTTTCTATTTGTGAGAGCCGATTGCCTTTTACGTAAAGTCCCAACGCGTGGATTGGCTCATTCATATGAGGGCTTGGTTCGGTTGGTGCGCCAAGCTCTGTCTGTAGCAGCTTCTTGACCCTCCCTGTCATACTGGAGCCTCCCAGCACTAGTGAAACTTTGCTTATCGCGTTGTTCGGATAGCCCAGCCATTTTTTCAAGCCATGGCCCATCGATATCGAAATTAGCTTGACCAGAAACAAACAAGCTTGTTTGTGTCCCGCACAACGTTCGAGCATAGCGGGTCAATGAGCGAGCCGATTCCATTGTCAGCGAGAAAGCGTGATGATACCGCACGGTATGGAGACTCGAAGGCTTTCCATTTGTTGTTTGCGCTATGAGCACCAAGAACTGAGTGGCCGGGTGACTTTGTGTGGTCAGCATCCCTAGAACTAGCAGTGCTGCCCGGCGACACTGTATTAGGAGAGTCGTTGCTTGGTATTGAAACTGTTATACTCTGGGGTGATGGTGATGTGTTTGAAGCAATCGCAGCTGATAGCCTCGCAGCCTCTTGTTCCAAAGTCAGCCAAAAGCTCTCCGACCGTGGTTGCGGCTTTGAATCACTGTCCGCCCGCCTCTAGTACTTGTCGGACCATTTGACTGGTTGTCGGTAGTCAAGACACTTAACGCTCCTCTTGCCATATGTCAAGCATGCAGGGATCGCTCCGTCGCACTGATATACTTCTCACCAGTTAGCGTTGAATTCTTTTGCTTGGATGAATCGCATCCACTCTGTTCAGTTCTCACCCTTTGCTTGCAATCGGCTAAACCAGCTGTATAATGCAACGTCAGTTAATCGCAACTAATGTGCAGATGAATAAATCATGCTCTTAAGGCGTGAATAGAATATGCCTTTCGCACGAGGCTTCACTCTTTGGATCTGCTCCAGGTTGTTCTCTTTGTTTGCAAGGCAGGCGAATGCTTCTCTCGTTTCTCATCGAAGAGCGGAATCAACGCATAAATAGGTCACTCAACTAATACTATTTCCCCTTTGTATCTCACACAAGCAGTCAAGGCACGTAACAGCCACTTTAGGTATAGACACAGGCCGACTTGAAGACAAGGACATTCGCATCTAGGCAACCCCAAACTCATGGCATTGTATGTTTGTGTTTCTATATACTATATGTTTAATAGAGGAAAGCAAAATCTTTCTATCTTATCTCGCAGCGAAACGAAAGCCATCAAGGACTTGCGGGTTTAAGGGAGGTTTGGCTCAAATGAGCTGGGGATAAAGATCAGATAAGATTAGATGCGCCAGAGAACATCGTGAGTGGAGTCGGATGACAATTTGTGGACGGATAAAAAGTGGTGTGGCTGATTAGCGATTATGATTGGGTCAATTGAGCCTCAATTGACATTGGAGTTATTCGCTGCTCGTTGGGGAAATACCCCAGATCTTCATTGATCACCATAAAACAACTGCAGCAGTTCGCGAGAATACGGAGGAACGTGCTTAATTGATCTCGGGTACCACAGCAATTCGGGCCCTCACAAATACATACCCAGCCGCTAGATTAATTACTCGTACCAAACTGCGTCATCCAGCACCCGCCCACCACACGGCCCACGAAGCCGAGTCTCGCCCACATGGTGTAAGTGATTGGTGCCTTTTAGTTCCCTGCCTCGAGGCATGTACCTTGCATGTGACGCAGCCATTTGTCTACGGGATGTGTGCAGTGTCGGATAGAGGAATAATTCCCACCACATCCAATCGTCTTGCACATGTGCTTCATCCCTCCCGTGCACGTGGGCCCTTGTTTATCTGCCGTGGGGGCCCTCGTCGATCCTTGTTGTTTTCCCCCTCTAACCCGTATTCAACTAGACCACGACTCGAGGGGGGGGACCGTGTAGTGTATGAATGCATGCGGCTTCCCGTAGGTGGGCGGGCCTACTTGGTTCTTAAAAGCCGGGCCATCTGCACCCTGCTGATCTCTGTCTCTTCTCCCCCAGGTCCTATAAGTTATTTTACTTGCTATACACTATTGATCAAGTCTCAGGGCTTGCATTTCACGACAGTTGTTGTTTTATCGGCAAAGCGGGGAGTCGGGACAGCATGGATCACAAAACATCCCACTTGCCGACATGGCAGGATAACAAAACCGCGAGCGAAAAGGCTGGTTTCGCTGGACATGATGAGAAATCGGCGCTTTTGAACGACAATACGAAAAATCAACAAACGATGGATATGCAGCAAATCTTTAACAACCGCCTTATGCCCGTCGCATTCGCTCTCCCGTGGGTGATGGGGATGTTGATTTCGTGGATCCCATTCACCAAGATCTCTCTTTACAACGCCCCCGATTTCCTGTACGTTCATATCACCAACGCCTCATCTGACCGTGTCTAACGATTGCAGTATTCTCGCCGCTCTCATCAGCACCCTCGAGGTCCTCAGCATCGTC